TCATCCTTAACTCCAACTTCAAAAAATGAACACTTTGATTGCAAAATGATGAGCAGAAACATGATGCAAGTGTAAGTCATGCAATTTTTATCTAGTATAATTGGACTTTGCCTATAACATTAGTTCTTTCTCTTCTAAAATAAGTCAAAAAAGTAAGAAACTTTGCGATAATCAACTTTCTCAATGAGATAACATTTCTCTCCAAAAAAAAAGTCCTGCTAGCCTGATTGTTGTGATAAACTTATTAAATAGTTTCATATTACGATGAACCAGAAACACTGCAGCCAGTGTGAAGCACAGTTTCGCAAGAACCAAGTTTCAGTGTGGTGCGGTATCTGCGGATGGATCCACCTGAAATGCAGTGGTCTGCGCAACAGCCACTCATGGACCCCGGATTTCACGTGCAACACCTGCTCAACACAGTTATCAGAATTTGCTAAAAGCAGCACCAGCGGAATGACCCAAATGCTTGAAACTCTCAATGTAGGCGACAACGAAACAGAGACCCATCCGGCGTTCTCTACACCGCCGCCGGCACTGTCAGACAGCACCAGCTGAACCCAGCAGCTCTCTCTTCTCTCTCTAAACTCTTTATCCCAATATGATGCGGCGCCGAACCAAGCGGCAGCACTTGCCGGATACACTGCCGGTTCTGCCGAATCATGCAGTGGAATCAAGTGCCCGATATCATCATGCAAAACAGTCATTGCTCCAACACGCGAATTGCCACACATGGAAAAGCACAGCAGAGGCATATTACCTGGTGAAGTACCGGAAGCCTGGTTGACGTCACAGCTCAGGTTTACATGTATGTGCCGCAAACTTGTATCATGCGTACACCGCGATTCGCATAGTCGGAGCTGCAGTGCCCGGAACAGACACGAAACAGGGCAAGCCATATCAACTAGCCCAACAGAAATGCCATCTTTAGACGAAATCATGACCTTGAAGCGGGCAACATTGAAGCACATCCCGAAACGAGCTCGTCAAAAGTTCGGAAAAGTACTCCATGATGTCCTTGCTCATGTCATATCTGTGAACGACGAAGACGCATGGACAAAACTGATGATGCTTCCCAAGTGCGTGCTACCTTCAAACAAAAGAGCTGGGAAAAAGCAAAACCTACCATCCATCGAAAAGTTTTGTGACAGATGGGAAAAACGAGACCACCTTGCATTATGGATTGACGCTAAAGAAACAGCGGAGAAGGCCAAACCCTTGAATACAAAGCAAACTAATGACCAGCAGCAGCGGGATGCTCAGCTAGACGCCGCTCTCGCCGCCGCGGCAGACGGTCAATACGGCAGAGCTTGCCGCATTCTGACATCCACCGGAATTGCCCCCAACACAGAACGCACCTGGAATTTGCTTAAGTGTAAACATCCCCAAGCGCCAAAGCCCGAAATCGACAAAAAAGGCACAGAAGCGGTTCAATTGGAGTCTGGGTTCAACATGATTGAAGCAATCAGGAGCTTCCCTAAAGACACGGCGTGTGGCCCATCGGGATTGAGAGCCCAACATCTCATTGAAGCTCAAGAAGCCCAAGTCCCCGTCAGTATTGCAACTCAGTTGCGACATGTCGTAAACATCCTCCTTCGGGGGGCAGCTCCAGGACAACTATCTCCGTTTATCGCTGGAGCCTCTTTGACGGCACTGAAGAAACCGAACGACGACATCCACCCCATCGCATCGGGCGAAATCCTTAGACGGCTAACGAGCAAATGCGCATGCACCAAACTAAAAATTAAAGCTGCCAGGTTCTTCGAGCCTCTTCAATTTGGAGTGGCGTGTCCAGGAGGGGTCGAGAAGGTCACACACCGGCTGCGAAAAGTGATAGAAGAACACTGGCTGGACGAAGATTTCGTTGTATTCAAAGTTGACATGTACAACGCTTTCAACACCATGGACAGGCAACTGATCATGAACGAATGTAAACATCACTTCCCAGAACTCCTCGCGTGGACAAGCCTCTTTTCAGAGCTCGGAGTCCAACAGGGTGACCCACTAGGGCCCCTTATCTTTGCTCTTGCGCTACACTCCGTGGTCAACGACATAGACGCAGCATGCGAACTGCTCCTGCATTGTTGGTATCTCGACGACAGTGTGTTCTGCGGCAAAAGATCAGAAACAGAGAAAGTCTTAGAGATCCTGACCAACGCCACCGCAGTCACCGGCCTCTCAGTTAAACTCAGTAAATGTGAACTATATAGCAGATCGGACCTGTCGTGCTTTCCCGAGGCAATTGAGAAAAAGTACCATGAACCGAATTTACAAATGTTAGGGGCACCGATAGGCAGCGCGGAGTTCTGCAGGAACATCATCGCGGAGAAAGCAAAGGAATCGAACGAACTGTTGTCGAAATTGCCCGAGTTAGGAAACCCTCAAGTCTCCACCATATTGCTCCGAACTTGCGCTTCATTCTGCAAACTCAGCCACCTCGCAAGATCAGTTCCTCCAGACGTCTCAGCTCCTGCACTGAAGAAGTTTGATGACAGTGTCAGGAAATGTTTCGAAGAGAGCGTGGTCATAAACGCAACGGATCGAGCATGGACACAAGCACAACTACCGATACGATTCGGAGGATTCGGCCTGCGGTCGCTTGAAAACCACTGCAGCCCTGCATTCATAGCCTCACACAAATTCTCAATGGGTGCCGCATTTGACGCTCAGAAACTGGAAAGCGCAATTGAAATTTTCAACAGCAGAAGTTCGACTTCAGAGCTCATTCGCCAGAAACCGTTATCCGACTTGATTGACGAGCACAGTTTCCACGAATTAGAAGAAACGTGCACGCTTGCTGAAAAAGTGAAGTTAACATCCTTGACTGAACCTCACAATGGAGACTGGATCCGCGCGCAGCCCTCAGAAGCGCTAGGCTTAGGCTTATCACCCAACGAGTTTAATGTTCTCACCAAATGGCGGCTCGGACTGGAAATTTTTCCATCTAACTCAACGTGCCCTCTTTGCCCAAACGAGACACTTGACCAGTTTGCCCAGCACGCCTTAACATGTAAACGGGGCCCAGATGTTTGCAGACGACACAATGGCCTGCGCAACTCTATTGCCGACTACTGTCGCAGAGCACAACTGAATCCCATTCTAGAAGCGGGATCAGGGTTTCGCGATCAAACGCGCCCTGCAGACGTGCTCGTGCCAACGTGGAATCTCGGGAAGGATGCAGCCCTGAACATCACAGTTGTGAATCCGCTCAACGACACCAACATTGACGGAGCGATCGCAATTAGGGGTTCAGCAGCAGCGGCCGCGGCATCAAGAAAGCACGGCAATAACGACGCGAAGTGCCGGGAACTTGGCTGGGAGTGCCTTCCTATGGTAGTCACTTGCTATGGCGAGTGGGGAAGCGATCGCCTTGCATCTCGTGTGGCCATGCAAACAGCAACCAGCACGCCGGAGATGAAGAACGCCATTTACACTCGGCTCAGCTGCCTATTAATGCGGTCGAACGCGCAGGCAATGCTGTCGAGAGGACAAATAATGGCAGGTCGAATGGAATTATCAATTGGAGGCGACCCATCAGCGTAACCATATAGACAATATACCACTTTAGTGTCTGCCATCATGAACTAAAAAATCGTTAAACTAATAAATGAGAGAAGACAAAAATTGGAAGACTTATTTAAAATTTTTGATCGATTTCTGTGCTAACTCGCTGCTCTTATCTGTATTAATGTTAAATATAATGTTCAATTTCATTTAATTTATACGCTTCATTGATGCTGCGGCAAAAAAATAAAAAGATTTGCATCTTCAGCAGAACCAATTATCGCAAACCGTTCTTTCATTGGATCTTTTCATCTCAGATTTGATAGTGTAAATTTTAAGAAATTCAAAAAAATTCTTAAAAGCGGTCGAAAATTTTAAAAAACGTTCAGAAGACTTTCCAAAAGCGGTCGAAATTCCTAAAATAAAAGGTTCAGAAAACTTTCCAAAATCCGCAACGTTTTTCTGCAAAAAGCAAGTTATGGCCTCTTAAGCAGAGAATCTTTCCAAAGCCGGGTTTCTCTATTGAGAGAGAGAAAGAAGGCTTAATTTACTACGTAGGGGATTAACAAATAAATATTAAAGTAAAACGCAAGTATGAACAGTATGAATCTATTTTATTCAAACCTAAGAGTGACACGAGGCACGGCAGCTTTTTCCATACCATGAACATGGAATGTATTCTCGGAAGTCAGTTAAAAGCTTTGATTTGTAAGCTTTCATTTAAAAAACTTAACCACAACCTAATTACAAAAGAGCCCTTCTGTTTAGTAACGGTAAGAGCACAAGCTGGATAGGGCCATACCAGCCTTGTAAAAATGTATATATATATCAGCAAACTATCATTTATCCCTGCTCTGTTGGGGCACCCATGTAATCCCAATCTTCGTGACATATTGAGGCTCCCATGCCGTGTGGGTGGACTTGACTTTCAGAACCCCGTGATGTCTTTCCCCGGTGAGCTAACGAGCTCTGTTATTCTAGCTACCCCTTTGATGATTCTCATAAACGAACAGCAATCATCGTTAACGGTGGACACACGCCATGAGCAGGCGAAACAGAAGCATGTTCTTGTGAAAAGGTAGCGAGAACGTTCAGAAGAACATCTTCAGAACATTTAATCGGTTTCCACTAGTTCCGAAAAACAAATGTTGGGAGTTAACAGCCGAGAAAAGAGCTTCCAATTGGCTGAATATCCTTCCGATGGAATAAAAGGGATACGCATTCCATAAAGGTTACTTTCGTGATGCCTTGGCATTGTGACATTCGACCAGAATGGACAAAAATGCAATTCGGATGAAGAAGAGAAGAAGAAATAAACTTTATTAGTGAATGATACTACATATAAAAGTGAAATTTTGAGTTTGCGAAATTCAAGCTTTGAGTTAAATTGTTAATGTTCAGGAACGACATGTGTTGCAACGGCATTTGATGAAGAAAGTGCATGGATTGTCGGGATTGAAGGTTGATTGAATTTGCTGTTTAAGGAAAATGAACAGCCTAATTGTTGTGATAAACTTATTAAATAGTTTCATATTTGGATGTGGAGAGACGAACAAGGCTTACAATGGAGAAGAAAAAGGATCCGCGGAAACGAACAACTTCACAGAAAACCTCCGATTTTCCGTGTCATTTCTGCGTCAAAGAAGTATTGTTGTTGTTGTTGTTGTTGTTGTTGTTGGGGATTCACAGCACTGCTGTTGGGATTCTTGGTCCCGGCGTCTTCTCTAAAACAATGTCCACTTGTTTCTGCACGTGATACAATCACAGAATAATTGCCACGTGCACGTTGTCATTTCTGAAAATCTCTCGTTCACAAATTTCCACATCGTGTTTAAAATTCTCGTCTTGAGGCCGATTCGTTTATCAAAATGAATATATGGTTCTAATCGATTTACAATCCTACTGGTTCTGAAAACAAATTCGTTTCTCGCTTTTTCCGTTCTCACTTTTCGCATCTCAAAAATTTCTGTATTTCTAGCCCGTGTGGTTCGCCTGTTTAACACTATTTCATTTCGTTCATTAGAATCAAGACTGGCAAGAAGTAAGATGTTATTTAGCTGGATGAACATGGGCAGGGGTAAAATGTTTAGCAAGCGTAGTTCGTTGATGTACACTCCCGTTTTATTTCCAGTGATCCAACGGATTACTTTCTTTTGAAATCGCTCCAACTGCAATTGATCCCCCCTCGATATATGTGTACATGAGAGTCCGTATAATAACACTGGGAGTATTAGTGACTTATACAGGCCTAACTTTACAAACGTATTTATCTTTGCTGATAGGTTTCTTCTCAGGAGGTACAGTACTTGGTTTGCCTTCTTTAATCTTGTTTCAATGTGTACCTTCCAACTTAAATCGCCCGACACAAAAATTTCCAGATCTTTCACAACCATCGATGTTCCAAGCACTACACCAAAAAGCATAGAGTTAGCGTCTCCGCCCCTAAAACTTACTTTTGCACATTTATCTAGTGCAAATTCCATTTTGTTTTCAGTTACCCACTGCTGAATTTTGTCCAGATCTTCTTGAATTTCAATTGATGTTTTTTTGATGGAAAGTAGTTTAAGATCATCCGCAAAAATATATGGTTCAGAGAATTTGAGTACTTCAGGTAGGTCGTTAATAAAAATGCAAAAGAGCAGTGGTCCTAAAAGTGATCCTTGGGGAACACCACTAGTGACTTCTAAAACTTTTGAGCTGATATTGTCTACTCGTACAAACTGTTTCCTGTTTTCCAAATAGTCATAGAGTACCTCTAACATGCAGCCTCCTATTCCTATAAGTGCAACTTTCTTAAGTAGATCAAAATGCGGAACTTTATCAAAGGCTTTTGCAAAGTCAGTGTAGAATGCTACAATTTCTGCGTTTGAGTCATTGTCAAGCGCTTCATATATTTCTTTCAGGAAAGAGAGCATGTTTGTCAAAACTGATCTACCTTTAGTAAAACCGTGTTGATGTTTCGTCAAATACCAGGCAAAGTAAGGGTACAGGTCTTTGTATATACATTTTTCAAGGACTTTGCTGTCAATATTTAATAGCGATACTGGTCGATAGTTGTTCACATTTTTCGGTCACCTTTTTTCTGAACAGGAGTAACTGCAGCTGTTTTCCATGAATCAGGTATTTTTCGTAGGCGTTTTACGTTTCTCAAAAGTTTGTTCATCGGTTTGCATATATTGCGGTTCGTTTTCTGAAAAAAGCTAGGTGGCAACCCATTTGGGCCGCGTGACTTTGTTACGTCCAGAGTTGATAAAATCTCACTTACTGTCTTTTTCGATATATCAAAATTCATTAACAAGGGATTTTCAAATTGAATATCTCTAATACTAAAACTTTCTTTAGGATTAAAAACTGAATGAAAGAAGTCGTTTAGCATGTTGACTTGTTCGTTTGGATTTGTGCTTTCAACTTCATCTTTTATGAGTAACTTAGGAAGACTTGTATGTTTATTCAAGTTCTTTAGGTGTTTAAAAATTACATTAGTGTTCCGTGTTCTAAACAATTCCTCTTGGTAGTTTTTCCTGTCCAATTCCGATGATTCAGTTACTAAATTTTCAAACAGTTTAACTTGTTGTCTTCTGTAGTTGGTCGGTTTGAGTATACATGATTGCCGTTTTGTTTGTAACTTTTTGATCAAATTTGAAGTGCTACTTGTTATCCAAGGTGGAAGTGATTTCCTATGTCTTGTTCTGAGAGGCACAAAACTCTTAATGATTTCATCCAAATATTGGGTGTACTCCTCATGCATTTTGTTAATGTTTGTGTGGCATACTGGTTCAAATGGGTTTTCGTTTATAAAATTGTTTATTCCTTCAAAATCGGCATTTCCAAAACTTCTAAAATTTTCCAAGTATGGTTTTGGCTCTGATACCGTCCATTCAATAGACAACATTATGGCATTGTGATCTGAGCAGTCATAAATCTTGGAAACGTTAAAATCTTGTTCGGCACTTGTATAGCAATTCCGATAAAAGGCTACGTCTAGTATGTTCTTCACACATGTTGGGAAATCTATCGCCTGCCTAAAGAGTCCATTTTCAAAAATTTGCAGTATTTGGTTTTCTTCCTCGTCAGTACTGGTGAGGGTGTTCCAGTTTGTTTCTGGGAAATTTAAATCCCCACATAAGAGAAGCTGTTTGTTTTTAGGAATGGCTTTGATCAGTTGTTCAAATTCATGCACTTTGTATCTGTAATTACCGTTTTTTGGCGGATTGTAGAATGAGCCAATTATCATTTCAGTTTGATGAAGTTTTATACTACATAGCACACATGAATCAGGAATGTCATGTTTGGTGGATAAGTCCTCGGTAATTAGACTATTCTTGACAGCTATTAGGCTGCCTCCGTGACAGTTTTTACCACTCACAATAGCTCTATCAGATCTATAGATGTTATATTCACTTAGAAAAAGCTCTGATGATTGAATATTCTCGTTAAGCCAAGTTTCGCTTAAGCATATGACATTAAAATTTCCAACTGCAATTGCATTTGCTAGCTTAGTTCTTCTCTCTATGTTGATTAGGCTTCTAGTATTTAGTTGCAGAATGTTGAGGAATCCTAGTCAATGCTGGGGTTCCTGAACTTCAGTGTCAATAGTTACTTTCACACCATCATTGAACAATTCTAGATTCCTTATTTTCAGCTTTTCGCGAGGAACGCCTTCATCTAGTAGTTATCTTCGTTTCTTAAGGATTTCGTTCTCTTTAATTGCACTCTCTTTGGTCAATGCTGGTAGCAGGTAGACCTCTTTTTCGACCAATTGTTCTCGCTTTTCTCGGCTTTTTGCTAGTACTATTCGTGCTTCATGTTCGCTAGGTACAGTTACCAGCAGTGTTCTTGGCTTCATTCGATTACGATCAAATTTTCCCAGTCGTTTTAGTTCTATTAATTTCGGCTTCACTCCATTTATGTCTAGTATTTCGTTTACTTCGTCATTTGTTGGGACAAGGTTTTCTCCTTTTGTTTTCTCAGGGTCCTCTTTGACCCCTTGTATCCTAAAACTTTGATTTATGTTGTGATCAGAGTTAGATCTGGCAGCATGTTGAGTGGTTTGAGCTTGATTTATCCGGGTGGTGGTTTCAGCAGCTACAACGGCACTATAAGTTTTTTCCACTTTATCGCATGTCGTTTTCATTGCATTTCCAATTTTTTGATCTACTAAATCGGTAAGTCTTCTTTCCATGCTTTTAACTTTTTCAGTTACATCAATGTTTGAGAGCTTCTCGTCTATGTTGGCCAGGGTTTTGCATCTTATAAAGTTGTCTCGTTCATTACTTTGCACACAAGTATTACAAAGCAACATGACATTCGGCCCTAGTTCTTTTATTCCATTTATGGCCACTAGAGACAACCCAACACAAGTTGGTTCCAAATGCATTTGAGCGTTGCATGCGACACAAGTGTATGTTTTCTCGTTGCCGGCAAAGCCTCTTTTACATGTTTTGCAGTTTTTGCCCATTTTTGCTTATACTATGGATAGAAAAACAGTTAAACCTGGTGGTTCCCAAAAAGGGGAGGCCTGTGGCTCACTCAGGGGAAAAAGAAGAAATAGACAAACCTGGTGGTTCCCGAAAAGGGGAGGCCTGCGGTTCACTATTTCTACTTACGTTAATAGGGGCACTGACAGTTCTTGAAACGACACTCGTAATAGACCAGATGTCCTTCTGTATTGCAGATGTTCGAATGTTTATCGTATAAGATTTTATTCTTGAGAATACTTTTAATGCCCTTCAGACCTTCTTCACTGAGGTGCACTTCGTCAGTTTTCAAATGATATGAGCTGTGGATTTTTTCACTCACTCCTCTAAACTTCCAAGTTCCTTTTATCTTTCTTAGGAATTCGTTTATTTTTGCAGATCGAGCTCGGTTCTCACTACGATGAGGGATTCCGATGACGAAAACTTTTTTGGCTCGTTCACACAGCTCCTCGGCTAGCTTCGACAGTTCTTCAGCAATGTCGCCTGCAGGTATACTGGAGGGGTCTTTTCCGTTGAAGGCGTCGTTTCCGCCGATGAGCAGAGCGATGATGTTGAATTTGTCTTTCTCTGGTAAGAAGTTTTGGACCGCACCAATTCGGGCCCCAGGTAGGGACAAGATATTGAAATTTGGAAAATCAAGATGGCGTGCTTGAGAATTCGCAATCAGGAGAGTTTTTGAAGATGATGTCTTGAGCAAGTGATATCTTCTGTCGGACATTTTATCGCGGGGCAACCATTGCTACCCCGGTAAAGATTTCAAGTATCTGAAACTATTTAATAACATTCAATGCGATATATGCGACATTTGGATTCACGCAGAATGTCTCATACCTGGCGTAGACATTAATGTTTTGCCTTCCCCAAATATTCTATTTCGCTGTAACCAGTGTCTGAGCTTGTCCACAATTAAAAGCGCTCTGACGGATATCCGGGTAGAAATAAAAAAAATGAAACTATCTGTGACATTCGACCAGAATGTATCAAAATGCAGATTCGGCATATTCGAAATTTTAGCAGTGAACCTTCCGAATTGGTGATTTTGAAGGAAT